CACCTTGAGTGCTATTCCAAATCTTGTGTGAGAAACCTCTTGGTAGTTTTATGACACAGGTTTTGATATTTCTTTGAATTATTTCCTCAATCTAGTCTTTTAGATTATCACAGAGTTGTTTTTTGCAATAGTTTAAAGAGAGACCATTAATAGTTTTGTCTCCAAAAGTTTAAGGTTTTCATTTTTCGTGATCGCTTCAAAATTACAATACGCAAATATTTTTTACTTCATTTATTTGTGAATCTTGGAAAGTATCAAGATGGATAATATTTCCAACATCCAGATGCATGATGTGAATTTCATGATGCAATAACTACAAAAAATTGTTGCCAGCCTAAAAAATGTCAAAGATTAGCTCCAAGTTGCTCGCACTTTAATCCATGTTCTAGCTCCCAAAGCAAATCCAATTCCACAAACGCCAAACAAATCACAGATAAACTTGTCAAAAAGGTTTGACGGAAATTATAGAAACTTCAAGATTTTGTTAATCAAGTTTGACTTGTCTTATGATCCCTTGTGCTTGGAAATAGACTAGACTAGACTAAACAAGACAGGTCATAGCTTCTCTTTGAAGCATATCACATGTGAAGTAATTCAAACACTTCTTGGCACCGTTGCAATACTCGAATCGCATAGAGTATCCAACTTCCTCTCCAATTGTTACATGCATTTTGTCTAGATACATACATAGCTGTACCACATACATCATTCTGCGCTTCTCCAAAATCCTACAGTAATGCTGTGAGTATGTCCTATTTGCATACGGATTAAAAGAGTCACGCCATTTGTCTGAGTCTTGCCCGGCCAAACTCAAGGTGTCATCCATCACATCAAACAAATCCAGTTTCATCTTCCCCTCCGACCCCATGCTCATGCAATCGTCCATTCCAGGCAGCAATGCCCGCATCCGCTGACTGAGCCAGCCTACAAAATGTCATAGATTAGCTCCAAGTTGCTCGCGCTTTAATCCATGTTTCAGTTTTCCAATTTCACAAGTGCCAACAAATCTCAAATAGAAAGTTGTCATAAAGGTTTGATGGAAATCATAGAAACTTCAAGATTTTGTCAATCAAATTTGACTTGTCTTTTGATCCTGTGTGCTTGAAAACAAAAACTTAAAAAAAAAGAAAAATAAATTATACCAATTAAATCACTAAGTTACTTTGATTTTTACCATTATTAAAGAAGGATTTTTCACTTTTGACAGATCTTGATTAATTTTTTGAAGAATTTTGTAGACGTTTGGAAAAAAAGATTGAGTACTTACTGCAACAACAAAATTTCAAACATTTGCAACAATGATTGTGATCAGTTTTGACATACGTTATAAAATTTCAGCAATTTGCAGGTGACCTTTATTGGAAAGATACGGCTCTTATAACCATATTTTGATGAAAATTTCACAACAATATCAATACCTTATTGCTGAATTTTCCTAAACAAATTACTTTGTCAGAAGTCATTATCCAAACAATCGACTATGACAATCTGCAGATCGAGCAATGATAGAAATGAAGGAGCAATGATAGAAATAAAGACCTTAAGAAGTTGCTTTTGTTAATTTTTTCCATCTTGATATTGAATTCTTGTCAAACTGTTGCAGATGGCAATTTACACAAGACTCAATGAAGCATTCAAAGCTCCAAAAATTGGAAATAGTAACACTTGAAACAATAATGTTGGAAGTAGTTATTAGTTGAATAAAAAAACCGAAAGTAGTATAGATACTAGAAGAGCAAATACAACTACTGTTGATGAGAATGAGGGACAATGTCTTGAGGTATTATATATACTGCTAGGACTAACAAACAACATTCAAACAACTCACTCAACAATACATACCTTACCTCAGGTCCGTTCATGGATGCACCAACTTCTAAACTTTTTTTTAATGTCTTTATGACTATTGCACCTTTAATACATGATCTTGGAGAGAGTTTGACAGCAAGCGCCCAAACAAATCTTTGTCTTGAACTCTCACGAGATGAGAGAACATCACATTCAAAACTTTGCAAAGCATATTGCCCGAGTGGATAGCAATTTTCAAATCCATCATCTTCAACTTTTACTTCTTCTAAAATTACAGCTTCAGCTTCTCTTTTTTCCTTGCCCAACCCTCTTTCCTTGTAATCCTTCTAAGCAATTAAAACCTCCTTAACAAGAACCGGTGGTGCTTCTTTACTAACACTTTCTTCTCTGGATGAAAAATTCCATAAAATAATCTTTATTGGCTTGAAAGCAGCTTCCGCTTTCATCAAAAGACTAATAACTTCAGTCTTATGAATGAAGTATCACCAACTATATTACTTTGCAGAGCAGGACTTTCATCCTCCTTCACTTTGAACCTTTCTTCTTGTAGCCCTTGACACTTTGCTTCCTTTCACAACAGGTTTAGCAACTAATTTAGCATCTAAGGAGCCGTTTTTTGTGTCAACTTCTCCTTCTAAACATGTGTCTTCTTGTGTTTAATCTTATTTTCTCCATGCTTAGAAGATTTTACCTTGTGAACTCTTCTATTTGCAGCTCTTGATGAAGGGTGAGAGATGCCCACTTCTTTGGTCAAAACATTACTCCAAAAAATACTTGTATAGACAAGCTGGAACATTTAAAACTACTCGCAACTCCAATAAAATTTGAAAGATTAGTTGGAAAATTACCAATTTTCAAAAAAAGAAAAAAAATCCCAAGCCTAAAAAATACACAAACGCAAAATATACCAAATTAAATTTAGTGTATCGCCACGCGTAGTATGGAACCAGAGAGTTTTTTTTAATATAAACCTAACAAATTTTCAAGACAAGCTACGTATTGTACTCCTTTATAGTGTATATCAGAAACCTTTAACCTAATCCTAGCTATGATTAACACTAAACCTTATTATAACACGAGTTAAATTAGCTTTCAGTGGACCCAACTTGAATCAATTCTAGTTTACTCAAATTGGGTTAGTAGTAACAATATGTTTGATCTCTTTCTTAAATCTCTCGTAGAGAAATTTATAAAGCATATGGAGATTACAGTCCTTACGACATAAATCAAGGAAAAGAATGGTAGGAATAACTTGAGATCTTGATTTGATTCATGATTCTATTTGAATAGATATGTTTAATTTTATTTTTCTTACTTAGATATAAGGTATTTTCGTGAATGTATCGTTGTGATGAACCACATTTTTTTAAAGTGCATGCACATTCTCGTCTTGATTGTGTGTGATTGCGTTTGAGTTTCTGCTTATCAATTTTTACTCTCTTAATGTCTTTTCTTACTCTAGCATATATACAAATAGAAGATTAGATAAGACAAGATACTTCATTTTATTTAGTAAACTCAACTAGCTGGAGTGATGAAGTCCGAGAAACCAAATACAATATTTGGAATGTGTATTGATTGAAATGTATACAGAATAATAAATTTTTTTGAAAAAACTCGTCACCAACAAGGCACAACACCAAAGAAGAATAAGGGGTAGGCGTAGATACTATTAAGATAAAATATATGTCTATATTTTACATGTGTATATATTTTTATGTTACCCTTTGTTTTAGATATTGCAATGAGCCAACTAACAAACTACATGAGACTTGTATGTTGGATCACCTAAAGTGATTGTACTTCTATGTATAGCTCGTAGAGTAATGAAATATCTAAAATAAGCTTATCAATAGGTCCAAGAGAGTGGTAGAGTAATGAAATATCTAAAATAAGCTAATCAATAGGTCCAAGAGAGTGATAGAACCTGTCATCTAAAATGATAGTTTCTCAGGCACTTCTTGCGAACATCCATATTTTCCAAGATAAAGACATAGAAGTGAGCTCTTTACATAACTCTATATTTGAAGATCCTGTTTGCTTGTCATTTTATCCGGAAACTTGAATAATCAACTTTCAGAAACTCTTTCACATTTTACTAAGCCCTAAACTTGTTGTTATGAAATACGTTCAAAAGATGTCTCCTTACCATGTTGCATTTTCTTCTAGAGCATGATCCCAGTGCTGATGAGAAGTATAGCTAAAATTGAAGTACTTGATGAATACTTTTTTTGGTTCTTTATCCGTGAAGAAGAAACATTAAGTGTATCTGGTTATAGAAGTAATCACTTGCATCTTTTATGATTTGTTTATAATCCTTTTGCAAAAAGAATTAAAATTGTTGAGATGTACTCGCAGATAACGTGAGTGAGATGCTGTAAGCAAAACATCAATGGCATACAAGACTTATCTGATTAAGATGTGCTGTACAAGGATGAACGTGAACTTTGAATGATTTATCTAAGTCTGCAACGGACAAAAGATGATGCATGAATTTAGTTTCATACCATCATCCTTTTATTCTTATATGTTTCAACTAGACTAGAATCTTATTATAGAGCAATGCTATTAAACTATAAAAATTCACAAGTTTTTCAACCTATCTACAATTTTAAGATTAATATAGGAAAGTGATAAATTATAATAAAATCGTTGTTGTCGACATCTTTGACCTTGCTCATGAGTTTTCAACAGGGCTGGCACCATGCAATCAAGTTGCATTCAAGTTTTATGCAAGATTTATGCAATCAAGTTTAAAAAGGTTTTTCTAAAAAACCCGTATTATTTTTATTGGCATTAATCGGGTTTTGAGTTTGAAATTTACATCACTACACTGTTCTGTACTGATAAGGTACTAATTTAGTTGATACAATTGATTACAACCATTGTTGAAATCAGGTTTTTTAATTACCCCAAATTATTATCGATAAAAATCAGATTTTTTACACTCCTGCTAATAGTCTAATACAATGGATTAAAACCATTGTTGAAATTAGGTTTTTAAGGTCATTTAATTAACCCGAAATTATTCTCGATAAAAATCGGGATTTGTCCACCCCTGGTTTTCAACGAGAGTGAAACGAGAAGGTCATGATGTTGGCAAAAAATTCTTAAGATTCTCATTGCTTCATGTCATCCAACGTTTGTATGAGGTGGGTAGGTTTGTGTCAGAAACAAACAACTGAATAGGCGTTCAAGATCTTGTATGCATTTATTCATAGAAGATGAACTTATTTTATGCATTCACTTGCACACGATAATACCCATTCCTGCAATAAGGAGTGTCTTGACTCTAGCTGTGTATGGCTAAAATGATATGTTTGCCAACGTGGAACGGCATTAATGGCTAAGACAGAAGGAGACTCGGTCGAAGATCCGCCATATTTCGTGAGATCGTAGAGATTGAATCTGAGTTGCCGACTCGAAGGAAACTGGGACTACCTGTACAACAACGTGACTGAACTAATCCTGCAGTCTCGAGTGGTGCCGATTGATGAGAGTGCAGAACCTCATGCAACGAGATGATCGGACCCTCGAATTCACTCAGCTCTTAATCTTGAGAGAATTGACAAACGCCTTGCCATTGAGACGCTGGGATATGAGGGCCGAGAGCATGTCTCCATACTTGGCAGAGCCATACTGCGGCGGATGGGACTCGTCCAGCAGCTCCTGGATGGGATCAATGGTTGCAGCCTTGGCGGGCATGTAGAACGAGACCAGCGACATGCGTTCCTCCGTTTCGTTTCCCGTGGCTCTATGTTCCACACTCCTGAATCTGCCGTTGCTCATCATCTGGGCAGCCAGACGCTGGAAGCTGATCAGCAACAAATCGACTGCACCCACAATGGCAGCTTGCAGCAAGAGGTTCTAATCACTGTGCTCATGCTTACAACAGTCGGCAACCATCGACCTCTATGGAAATGAAATTGGATGATCTGGGTACGCAGAGAAAGCCCCCGTGCGATGGAAAGATCTGGCTGTACCTCGAGAGAGTCACCCACGTTGACGACGAAAGCATCAGGCACGGGCTTGACTGGAACCCATCGGCCGTCATTTCTGATCTCCAGGCCAGGCACCGTGTCTGAGAAGAGAAAAACTATAGCAGGGAGGTCCGAGTGGGGCAAGATCTCGCCCACAGCCTTCCCCTCTGTCTGCAAAGGATAATAATTGGCTCGGATCCCTACGTCAATGGACTCGCAGCGTTTCTGCAAAGCAGCTGCGTCAAGTCCCAACGCTACGGACATTGCTGCCAGGACCCTCTCTTGTGCAGCTGCAACTTCCTTCGTAAATTCGAGCAGCGTTGGGCTGTGGTTTGCAGAGAAGATCAGACTCGGTATCAGAACAGTCAGCAAGTGATGGTATCGACAAGCGATGAGAGGGAGTAAGCATTGTAAGCCAGAAGAGTTTTACGAGGAGAATTTCTTACCGGAGATCTGGTGGAATCAATGAGAATACTGTCTCGTGATTGGGGTTATCAGAAAGCACGATATAGTACAAGCATTCACTTGTATTTCCGATGTTCAGAGGAAATTTCTTCACATCGGAATCGTCATATAGTTCGGGAGAGTACCACCCCTGATAAACTTTAGTCATCGCGTACTTCTTTTTCTCTTCTTTCGGCAAGTGGAAGAAGTCCTTGTATGCCTTCTGGGTCCTCCGAATCAAAGACATATCCACACCGTGATTGATGATGTGGAAAAAGCCCCATTCCTCACAAGCCTTTGCAACTTCTTCACAGATCCTTTTGAATCCCGGACCCGAATCAATGTCTGCGAGATCGATTACAGCGATTCCGTTATCGGAGCTCATGTCGTCCACCGCCATATACACCTGAGTGACAGGAAGTTCTGCCTTGAATACTCGAACCGAAGGACAGGAAAGATGGCCTCGTTCACTACAGATATGTCCCTCAGTAGCCTTTGAGGACCCAACCTCTGCTGGAGGAGAGGGTTGAAGATCAGCCAATTTATTCCCGTTGCTTCCATGGACAATATTTTTTCTGCAATAAAATAAAGATCAGCCGATTCCAACTTTGGACAACGCACATGTTGTCTAAAATACTATTTTCCTTGGATCAGCGGGTGGGCCGGAATATTATTTAGTTTTAAATATGCCACTAGTGGACAGAATCCGAAATAGTTTAAAGATATGAACTGTTACGATTTTGACATTTCGAAGCCCACTTTTCTAATATGATGGATATATGCTAGTAACATCATCCATGCTCGAAATGGGTACAATCCTGAACAATCCTCTATTTTATGCGATGAAGTTAATCAACTGTAAGCCATGACCCCCGAAAAAATTTATTGAAGTATTTCGTTAAAAAAAAAAACGCCTTATTAAACTCCAGAAGGTACAGGCGGAGATGCTTCACCTGGTGCATGCATGTGCTAAGGAGACACGGTACCTGTGGCTTCTTTGATATTCTCTAGGATCAATCGAATTACTCAAATCACAATTCAACGTACGCGACATCATTCTACATGGCAAGAATAACTGATTAGCATCTGCGTTGTTCACCTCCTTGACTCAAGTATCATATTATATTAATTATTGCATGCTCACGCAGTTTTTAATTGAATATCTTTTGGCCTCTGTTTCATTACCACTTTCACAAACAATGAATCATTGATATACCGACCCTAGGGGAAGAACTTACTATAGTGTCTATATACTTTGCTTGAATCTAGGTTCTTTAACCTGTATCTATGACACTCAGCCACCGACTCTGACTCGACCGACAGAGCAAGCATACAGAGAAGGATATTTTCACAACAAAATCATTCCTTTTCACGATCTGAATTTAGCTGAGACGTTGGATAGCGTTATGAGATCGACAGTCCGTCATCGAGAGGAAATAGAATGAGATGACAATGGATGACAGAGTCTCAGCCAAGATCTAGTGGAAACTTCGTGCCTTCTGTCTTCTAGTTGGGTTGAGAAGGAAGGACGGGATGGTAAAAAAAATTACGAGTCTGTACTGTGACTGGGCCAAGGCCCTTCTTTTGTACTTCCAGCCCTCTTTTAGTTTTGTGCATGGTCGCAATATCGATCGTTGTTTCGATCACACCTACGCCAAATATCATTTTTTCAAGCAATGAAAATAGATCGTCTTTGATGTACTACAAATGCATGATGCTTGCATGTTGACAAGGTTGAGCATCTTCGTATAAGATCTGCAACATTTTTTGAATTTATTTTCTTCATCTGATCGCCTACGCCCAACTTGTGATGTGTGGCATTGGAGTAACTATCATACGTGGGTGAAATGTGTAGTGTCTAATTTTCTTTGTACAAGGTGCTTAGTGCTCGCACAAAAGAACTCAATGCGTAAAGTTTTGGGCAGAATATGTGGCAACGTGAGTATACGTGGCAACAGAAGGCGCACACTATCCCATACAGACCTTCTGAAAGTTCACAGAAATCCAGTATTTGATATTAAATAAGTCAAAACAAACAGACCCAAACAGAGGAGAGATGATGTAAATGATTCCTTTCTCTATCTCCAGTAGAAAAATTTCCACTGAAACTATTATTCGTTTTTCCAAAGCAATCTTTTGAGTTTTTCAATCAAAGACTTTCTCAATAAAAATTCTCCATTTCCATAATTATCATAATATGATTTAATTTCGACTTCATTATATCTTCAATAACTATACCTTCTATAAATAATATGACTGTTGTCCATTCCGTGCCTCTAAAGTAAGTTGTTTCTTCGAGGAAGAATAAAATTCAAGCAGTCTTTGATGGAAATTGAATCCTTCAGATCAGGAGTGACTTTAACCTTCTGAGGAACTTTAACCTTCTGAGGAAACTATATGTCGAAACACATCGTCGTATAAATCGTCTAGAACTTATTAAGAAATATTATCTATCTCGGCTGTCACTGTCACTGCATGCAAACACTTCAATGATGTGAGCTCATGACTTTACATGACATGTGAGCACAAGATACGATATTCTCATGATTCATTTTGTACCTAGGACTACATGTTAGTTTGAAATTTTGTCTTCTCGCTTAAACTTTACGAAGTCATTTTTAGGAGTTTTAAATCTTTAAAACCAAATGGTGGATTAAATGTCCACTAATTTTCTACCGATTGTCATTTCTACCGACCATGAAATGTATAAAGTTTCAAAAAGAGCTTCACCACCATATCTTTGTTTTATTTAAACTCCCATATAGATATATTCATCTATGGCAACTTTATTTTTCATATGGACCCGTATGGTAAGACGATGAAATCCGTTTATATGTATTCATTTGTATACAATATATAGATACATATTGAAACAAGTGAATCCAGTCAGTAACTCTCCTCGTCATTCTCAAAGTTTGACGTGTATACTTTTATGTCTGCATGTATAGCTTTTTATGTAGTTCAGAAGGCCACAACTCGGCATTCATAAATACCGCAATAGAGGATTATAAAATGAATTTTCATTTCTATACATTTTATGAAATGTATAAAGTTTCAAAAAGAGCTTCACCACCGTAGCTTTCTCTTCTTTAGACTCCCATATAGATATACACATCTTTGGCAACTTTATGTTGATATGGACCTCGTATGGTAATACAATGAAATCTGTTTACATGTATTCATTTGTATACAATATATAGATACATATTGAAAACAAGTGAAACCAGTCAGTAACTCTCCTCATCATTCTCAAAGTTTGACGTGTATACTTTTATGAAAGCATGTATTGCTGTTTCTGTCGTTCAGAAGGCCACAACTCGGCATTCATAAATACGGCAATAAAGGATCATTAAAATGAAATTTCGAGGTAAAGATGTAATTTTGGCCTTTTCTGTGCAATCGTCCTGTGAAACACGATGAGTGCGTGGAGCCTAGCCTAGACGTCAATTGCTCGCACGAGGGATGAAAATTGGCACGTGGTTGATGGCTGAACGCAAAGAGAGTGACGTGAACATGTTTCACTTCCAACAATAATAAGTCAGTTGTATCTCGTGCGAAGAAGGCGGGGGCCAAACAGATGTTCCCTGCGGTGGCTGCTGCCAGCCGCCACGCTCGGCCAGACCATCGTTCGTGTATAGCGTTCCTTTCGTGCATTGTCCCCAATGACTGCAAGCGTTCCACGGGCGCATCTCTAGTAGCTTTACAGACTGCTCGAATGCTGCCGTCAAGCTATCAGATCGAGATGAATTGATTTCCAAGTCCCTTACTTTCTTATATAACCAGCCGATTCAGCTCGTTGGTCTTCAGTGAGAGAAATCTGTGGCCTCCAGGGTTCCAAATTTGCAGTACTCATTGATGCTCCTGATAAATTAGAATCCCATCCCATTCAGCTGTCAGCAGACTCTGTAGATCCCAGACCGGCTAGAGATGAAGGCCATAAATTCGTGTTGTCTTCTGTTTTCGAGGCTTACGTAGCCTTGACAGTTGTGGTCGGTTCCTTCTCTGAAACCGAGTGTGATGATGTGATTCCAAATTTTACAAAGAGGTCGTGCGGCACTTCATTGATTTCATTTTGGATTGTTAATGATCGGATAGCTATTAATAAGCATGTGATTGGACTGTTCTCTGCAGAAAGTCACATGCTTGTTAATAGCTATTCGATCATTGCAACACCAGTATATGATGAGATATTCTTTTCGGATGGTGCACAAGGACTTCCAGAGCCTGCAGAATCTGGACTTCTACTTTATAACATTATGAGCGCAACACGAGTTTGGTTCAGTCCTGTCACGTCTGGTTCCTGTCAAGAAGTGATCTCCATTGATGCAGTTTAAAATAGTTGTAATTCGTTCCTTTAAATTGGGCGATGTTTCTTATTTCTCTAAGCAAGTTTGCATGATCGACCCGAAATGGGAACTATTTTTTAGCACATCTCAGAAATTTATTGTATCGCCGTTTCGGCCCACGTGCAAAGCATGCCATGTGGCACTGTTTGAAATTCCTGATCAAGAAATGGCGGCTGAATGGTTAGAGAAAGTCGGCGGGATAGAGAGATACCAAAATGCACAGACAAAATCGGGAAAATAAGTAGTCACTGCTGAAGAAGAAGCGATCGAAGCCACGATCAACAGTAACGGACATGGTGGGGGTATCGCACCACTAATCTGTCTCATGGGGATGTATTGTCCATTGGTGCCAAACCTTGATTGGACTTAGGGGAATAGAAAATCTTCCCGATTTTGCCTGTGCACTTTGGTATTTGAGTATCCCGCCGTCTTTGTCTAACCATTCGGCCCGCCATTCTAATCAATTCTCGTTTTCTGGCCTGCCTCTTGAACTTCATCTCTCAAGTTGTGTGCAGAAATGCGGGGGAGAAAAACCTCAGAGGCTGGTGAGGGCACGTCGACGCTTGGGATGCGATCTTGTGGGCAGAATCTTTCCGCCGATACCAGCAAGCAATGCACAATGGGGCCGAATTCAATGGCGCGGCGAGTCTTTCAGGAATTGGATTTGATCCTTAACATTGCTGTCATTCCAATGAGAGGTAAGGTGGAGCTGGTACACTACGAATTTTGCTGGAACATGGCTAACACCTTAAAAAATATATTTTCCCCACAGAGGACGATAAATGTCAGATATTGTTCCTCACACTCTCAAGAACAATTGGGATGAAATGTTCGCGTGCATGAGACAACCTTTGGGTGAAAAGCTTCGAGCAAACCAGATGGGCGTCAATTAAACTCTTCCTTCTTAATGAACATGCATGCGCATGTCATTTGGCTCCGGCCCGAAGAGTGCCCACAGCATGGAGTAACACTGAAGTCTCCCCGACAGAACCTGACCCTTGATCTCCAATAAATTTCTCGCCTCAAAGCCAAATAGAGGATGAAGCCTAACTCAATTTTTCAGCATCAGATCCCAAATTCCTCTCAGACGCTATACCCACAGAGCAAGCACGTCCTGTCACAGGAGGCCATGAAGATCCGAAGACCCCAAGAA